GCGGAGACGTGAATAATGGAGAACTCGGAGAGGTATGCAGTTTCGTGTTCGGTGGTGGTTGCTGATTAGATGCGGAAGGGGAGGACGAAAAAGAAGATATAGAAGCGGAAGGAGGTGGGAACAATTTACCTTCTTTGATCTCTTCCTGTATCGCTCGTAATTCTCGTAGCTGTTGTTGTTTTTTTTCTTTCAGTTTCTCGCGTATTAACGTGACATTCAATGAGCCACTAATTGCCATATCAGTTTCATCTTTGTGCTCATTGGAACCATCGTTCTATATTGAGAGATTAATTATATTATAACAACAGTCTTATTGCAATGAGTAAATATGCAAAGAGAAAAAATCAAAACGTAAAGTGAATGTATTTATTCCACGTACAATACACGTTAGCAAAATATATATAACATAATTTTTTCAATATAATCGCTCAACTTTGTAACACATTTAGTATAATGTAATAAGACTTTTGTAATAAGACTTTCCGTCTGTAAAAAAGATTTTGACTGTTCTCAAAATTCGAAAAGTCACACACTTTCCTAATGGTGATATTCGATTATTCGAACTCTATACTTGAATAGTACATATTAAATGCTGCTTTATGTAAAGTATCTAAATATAGTGGCATAATTTAATCAATCTTAATAATAAAATAATACGTATATTTTATTAAATATATTGTGATAATATCATTATTCATTTAAAATATTTATATGCTTTTACATTACTTTGCTAATTTCATATACACATAGTAGTAATCTAGTGTAATGCAAGTGACTGAATTCGGTATAAAACAACTGAAACTTGAAATTTTCTCACATTCAGTGCTGGATTCAGATTCTCATCTAAGTGTCGCTCAAGTATCACTTTATTTTTGTTGTTTATCAAACGTTGAACAAGGGTATGATACTCGGACGGCACTCGGGTGGAAATCCTAACACGTCCCTGCATACAGTTCTGATTTCTTGCTGCTTCCGATTTCCATTTTGTTTAGTTTGTTAAAAAAAGTCCTGATATAAGTTCCATTTAACGTTTGCTATTCTTGAAGTCATTTACAAATGTTAACAAGAACAAACGGCTTGCGAACAGCCAAATGAAAGCCTTGATGAGCTAAATGTCAGTGATAAATTATAATTATCTTAGAATTTAGGAAGCGATGCATATATTTTGAGGGTAGCCAAAAATCTTGTTCACAGACAAAAGACTTGTGTATCATTATACAAAAAATGTAGTAAAACTTCGATTATATTGAGAAATGATGTATGCATTTTACTAACGTATATAGTATTATATAGTATTATATGTTAAAGATAAATAAGTTCAGTTTATTTTCTAATTCATGGATTTATAACAACAAATATCTACCTGTACTACATTAGAAGATATTGGTTTTTTCCAAAACGGAATCAATTGCCGTGATCCATTGCCCATGTTGAGCCACTGTTTTGAATCACCTATCGCCGCTACGGAACTCATTACCGTGCCCTGCGATTGCGGCGGTGGGGGCGGTACAAAGCTGGTTGGTTTCTTCTTTTTGCGATTCGGATTTACAACCGTTGGATTTGCGAAACGGCAATTGAACACACCTGGTATGCCGCCGTTACTTAATTTAACTTTCCTCATGCTAATGCTAATATTAACTTTCTTTCCCTCGTTATAATCTATTTGTTTCTCTTCCGCGTTGTCCTAAAAGTTAAAAAAATTTTATAATGATGCCTCCAAAGAAAGAAATCTGTCTCATATCATACCTGATTCGATAACGTAGTGAGATTTGAACCAGTCATTCTCCCACCAGCCTCGTACCTTAATCTTCTTACATGAAAAAATCTGTAACAAAAATGAAAACTTAATTTAACTATAAATATTTTCATCATATAGATATGTAATTCTATAATTCTACTAGTGTTTGCTTAATGTTGTAATCACTTATTAAGAATTATATTTATTTAATTAAATATACACTCTAATTACTATACAAATTTCCATTTCACTTTTATATGTGAATTTAATGTGAAAGTAATATAATATTACTGTATAAATATTAATTAATCAAATAAAACAAAATATGCTTACCTGTAATAAAGACCCATGAAAAACATGCCACCAAAAAATAAAGCTAGTAGAAGAAGTACTAGAGTAACTGGATGTAGATGATGTTGGTGAGATAAAAGATCGGCACGATTAACACCAGCTATCCACACGCCGATGAGTAAACTGTTCTCCAAGAACATTACAGTGTAAAATATCACCTGAAAGAATAAAAAACATAACATTAACATAAATAGATTGTCATTCAGATATAAATACTAACCATTTTTTGACGATGATTCGTCTCATGTAGATTAACATATGCAAATATATATACAAAAGCAAGGATGGAAGCGAGGAAAGTCTTTCTAAGAAGCGAAAGACGCTCGCCACCGTGGAAAAGTCCGTCCGGCGTGAGCAGTAACCATGTTAACATGGACAACCAGTGGAGAGCCATCACGATCAGCAGCCACTGTCCGCCATACAACGAAGCATACGCGACCAATGCTCCGACGCGAGCACTCACTGTCCCCAGACGCCAAAATAATTGCGCAAGCACTCCCAACCATGTTAACACTAAACGTTCTAGATTACGCAGACGCGCGGCACCTTTGCTGAAACTGGCAACCGCCCAGCACACACTCCATAAGGACAGTCCTGCCGACACTAATGTTAACTCCTTTAATTTACCGCTCTCCTTGCTCTCACTCTCGTTCAATTTCTCAGCTTCTATCCTATCACCATCGGTAGCGCCGAACAAAACGTAAAGCTGCAGAAGTAGCATTGGAGCGGCCTCACAGAATGCGTGTATCAGCCGTAATACACAGAGCTCCCGTACCTGAGAATGATCATTATAAGACTTATAATGAAACGAAAGAGACGACGGAAGAATGTTCTTCTTTTCAAAAATGTTTACGTACCTCGTGCTTCACGAAAGTTAAATTTACTGGAATAAATAATTTGAAATATCTCCATAGTACACCGATTTGAGTGGAATGAAGTAATAGAACGCAACCTACAGTCCAATTGCTAATTCTCTTCACTGAATTTACATGACAATTGTTTGCGTTTGTTAATTTACCTCTAGCTCCCCAGAGATACCATCGCAAACTAATGATCTGCAAAAATAATTATATAGTATATATAATTATAACGATGAAATTGCAAAACAATGTAGAAGTTTCGTCAGACACAAACCTGAGAAATCAACAGAGAAGTTGCTATAAAAGTGATGCTCAATGGAAATAGTATGGGCGATGTTGTTACTTGATGGGCAAGGGCATATACCATCGCAAAATCAAAGACAACATCGCAGAAATAGGATGCTAATGAAATAATGTTAAATAGTACATCACACAGGGGCAAAAATTCGTGCTGATGTTGTGATTGATGACACTGGGCCATAATGGGCTTTTATTGCCCATTTGGAATATTTAGCAATTTTTTTATTTCACTTATTTGAATCCACTCTTCTCTTCC